ACAAGTTCTTGTGCCTTATTGCACTTTTTTAAAAACAAAATGCTGCATATGAGAAGGTAAAGTCATATCAAGCACATGCAAAGCAGCTCATATGCATCGATTAAACATCAAAATTTAGTAAATTTGCATCTTATGAACTCAAAACCCAGCTTGAACACCAAGAAAAGAGTGCAGATTTTTATATTTCAGCATGTATAAGCTGTAAAAAGTGTAAAATTTGCATTTTGCACACAAAAAATCAGCCTACAAGTCCAAAAATAACTTTTCAAAATGCAGAACTTTTCATTAGTATCCAAAAATCAGCTGTAAACAATGCACATGTCTCAATTTTCAAACTACTTTTTAACACCCAGGCCTTAAGGAACTGAAAACTCACAACAACACAACCTTTAGGTGTTTGAAATTGCTGTTTTGTATCAGGATTTTGCACATAAATGATGCAGATTTTTACCATTGAAGCTCAAGAATCAGATTTGAGTGGGTAGGTTATTCATTTTTGGAAGCTGAATTATGACTTAATAGTGCAGATTCTCATTGCACAAACTGTAATATCATAAACCAAACTTTGAACACAAAAAAGGGTAAGGAAACTAAAGCTTAAACCTGGGACAGCTGGAACTACTGATTTGGATCAGATTTCACACCTGTTTGTGCAGATTTTTACTCCAAAGGAGAATACTTCTATCTATGACTTAATAGATCTTGAATATACACTCAAATAAATAGTTAGAAGCATACATGAAGCAAAAATAGACCATTCAATCCAGTAAATGCAGCAGTATTCTGAGTACTCCTGATGATGAAGTTTTTTCATTTTTCTGATTTTTTTTCTGTTTTCAGATTTTCTGGTTTTTTTTAATTAAAGCAAAAGATTAATAAGCAAACAATAATAAAAATTAAAGAAAGAGAAAGAAAAGTAGGTGGGTTGCCTCCCATAAGCTGCCCGGGTTAACGTCTTTGGCTAGACAAAACTTACTACTTGCCAACAAATATTCACTTAAGCCATGAAGTAGTAAAGTAAATGTGTTTCTTTAAAACAAATAAAGATTAAAAATCCATATATGCTCTCAAATTTCAGCTTTAGTTGGCATTTTCTACACCAAGATTATCACTAGATGGTCATTTAGGAACTAAAAATCAGATTCAAGTATGCAACATATGAAGCTAAAGCAAATTTCAAAAATCAGATTTTCTTGATCCTTTAGCCCTTCTAGTACAAAATTCAGCATGTATGGATCAAAATATGAATGTAAAGTCATGCTGTGCCTTCGAATCAGTTCCTATGCAAGTTTTAACAATTAGGATTCATGGCACATAAGCATTTAAGGAACTCAAAAATCAGCTTAAACATCAAGAAAACATTGCTGATTTCTTCTTTAAAAAAATGGCACTTTGGATCAGATTTTTTCTAAAATTAGCACTTAAAGCTTCAAAATCAGAATGAAAACATTACGATATGCTTCAAAATATTGCCCCCAAGCAAGATATATCAACTATAGTTCATATTTGAAGCAAAGAAGCACTCCAAGGGACAAAAATCAGCACAAAAAGAAAGCCTAGAAGTGCATATTTTTAAAAAACAGCATATTAAGCCCAAGAAATTCAGCAAACTTATCATTCAAGGCTTATATAATCAGTACATACATGCTGCACATATAAGATTATGGAAAAAAACACATATATCAATGAAATGCAGCATATATGATATGCAGAAACAAAAATCAGCAAGAATAGATGAAGAAAAAGATCTCAAAATGCAGTTTTGATGAAAAATAGTACTGAAATTTCATAAAAACCGCAAATGGAGCATAAATTTCAACAACCAAAAAAACATGCTAATTTCAATTTCTTCGTACACAAATAACCTCAACTCTAAACATTTAACATGCACATAAGTCTTGAACACAAGAAAAGAGGTCATTTGTTCAACAAAGCAGAAGAAGAGAATACATGCTAAAAAAGATTTCATACAAAACTTTCCCCGGCAACGGCGCCAAAATTTGTTGGGGACTTGTCGTGCGGTCCAAAACAAATTAAAAAATTATTAAGTATCCTTAACTAACCCCCACAATATAATCAAATAAAAATTATAGCTAGGGCAAGTAAGGGTCATCATTGGAGGCGACTTCAATGGCCATATTGGAGAATCGGCCGAGGACTTCGAGGACGTGCACGGTGGTTTTGGCCTTGGAAGCAGAACGCAGCGGGAGTTTTACTCTTGGAGTTTGCCAGAGCGAGTGATATGGTGGTTGCTAACTGTTGGGGACTTGTCGTGCGGTCCAAAACAAATTAAAAAATTATAAAATATCCTTAACTAACCCCCACAATATAATCAAATAAAAATTATAGCTAGGGCAAGTAAGGGTCGATCCCACGGAGAAAGATTGTACTTTTGAAATCAATATAGTATGTAAACACGTTGTCACGAAATTAAATAAAAAAATACTACACATATAATAAGACGTATAAAACTTATAATAAAACTTATAACTAAAAACATATGAATATAACTTATATAAACAAAGAACTTATAATATAACTTATAAACAACACAAAGGGGGGGGTTTGAATAAAAAGTAAATATTTTTTGGTTTTTTATATTTTCTTATTTTTTGGTTTTTTAATAAAAATGGGGAAAACAAGCTCAAAAGATAATTAACTTCTCCAATTAAGGTAACCCAAGAAACACCGCCAAAACCCGAAACAAAATGAAAAAGAGAACGAACACAAAACAAACATTACACGTATAATAGGCACTTAGACAATATATTACGTAACTTACGCACTTAAGAATAGAAAAAAAAATTCAAAGGCTCGAGTTGATTCATATCCTTGACCACATATAGAGGATTGTCAACTCTCTATAAGGCCCGGAGTCAAAGATTCAAAGGCCTTTTGGTTACTTTGAACCCCCACTCACCTCAAGCGCTCAAACAATGATTCCAAAAGATGAAAAAGTTTATAAAAGAGCAAATCTTTCTTTCATTCTAACTCCCATGCACAAAGTATTCATGAAGAACATTTGATACACTTTAATAAACTTTAACGTCTAATGATGAAAATATTTTGCAGGTCTCCTTGAACTACTCAAGCATAAGAATTGTATTCTATTCACATAAGAAAAACATTACATATTTTCATTAAATCAAGAGTTGTTTATTGCGCTTAAACAATCCCAATTTTTGTGAAAATGACAAACAAGAACACCAACACATAACAATCACTTTATAACGAATCTTAAGGAAAACGTTCAACTTATGTGGCTAAGAAGTTCATTTACCTTAAAATTTTACAAAACACAAGTCACAAAAAAGATTCACGTATGAATTCGAGAATCATTCAACTAAAATATGTAGCTAAATTAGCTTCAATGATAACCGAATTCAACATACCAACCTACTTATGAAATCAAATTTATAATTCAACCACTTAAACATCAATTTGCGCAAAAAATGAAGAAACTAGTGAGAACCAATTTTCATTCATAAGGGATTTAATATAACATGAAAAACCTATAAAAGAACACCAACCATTTTGGAATTTTCGAAATTAACACAAACAAGGGGAAAAAAAATGTAAATTTGCATTGAAACAACACTTTTACAAAGAGATTGGAGAAGAAAAAGAAATTGACAAATATAGGGTTACCAATTGTTGAAGAAGATGAAGAAAACTTGTAGAATTGGAGCTTGAAGGGACCGCCTGACCTATCACCGCCGACCATCGTCGAACGCCGGCGAGCCGTGGTTGGCCGCCGTCTGCTTTCTTCTCCGGTGGCGTCAATTGCAGCGGCCAAAGCCGCTGCTCGCTTTCTTGTTTGGTGCGATGCCCTCCCCTTTTCCTTGTTTAGCGAAGGCGCAATTTATAGCCGAAAGATTTTTCCCGTTGGAGTGTAAATGAGGAGCGAATTTCAGGGAGAGACGTTGGAGGAATTGGTCGCCGGTTACTTCGCAGCTGCTTTAATGAAGAAGAAGCTGCTGCTGGATCTCTTTTTCCTTTCTTGCTGGACGTGAAATCAAATTGGGAGAGTGAATGCTGGGTTGGTCTTCTTTTGTGTTGGGTTTGGGCTCCAGCCCAAATTCGATATTTTCTTTCCAAACTTGAACTGCATTTCGGCCTTTTCCTACATTTTTCTCCAAAAATAAGATATCTGATAATTTGGGTTAGGGAATAAAAATAAAAATAATAAAATGTAAAAAAAATGATTAAAAAAAACTACTATTTATGAATGGAAATAAAAGGTTTGTAAAAATAGGAATTACAATAAAACTAACCTAAACAAATGAAAATTAAACAATAAAAATACTAAAAATACCGAAAAAAGAATAAAAAATATTAACCCAAACCCGAGTTATCACTAACTCTTGTTTCCCTAAACGAGACGACCATTTGGCTACATTTGTTAGTGGAGTGGGGACGACACAAATCGACTATCTTCTCCTGCGTAGGTGTGATCGGGTGCTCTGCAAAGATGCTAAAGTAATTCCGAGTGAGAACATCACTACCCAACACAAGCTTTTGGTGATGGATGTCATGATCAGGTGGGTGAAACATAGGAGAGCTTCGAGTGGCAACACACAAATCCGGTGGAGAAGACTAAATGGGGAGAATATCTCTGAGTTGATCAGGCGAGTGCAGGAGAAAGGTGCGTGGGAATCGACCAGAGAGGCTACTAATATGTGGGCGCAAACTGCTAATTGCATCAGGGAAATTGCTAACTGGTAACTGCATCAAGGAAACAGCCAGGGAAGTGTTGGGTGTGAGCTCTGGCTCTAGGAGTAAGCGTCAGGGTGATTGGTGGTGGAGCGATTTAGTTCAAAGTAAGTTGGAAGCTAAGAAGGTGGCGTATTTGAGGTACATGGGCTGCAATGTTGAGGAGGAAAGAGCGACGTTATGAGTGGAGTACAAGAAGGCACGTAAAGAGGCTCAGTTAGAGGTGACGAGGGCAAAGAATGCCGTATTTGAACGCCTCTACAAGGATATTGAGGAGAAAGACAGTGTTAATCCATGTTCCGGCTTGCTAAGGTGCGTGAGAGGAAGGCCCGAGATCTGGATCACGTGAGATGCGTGAAGGACAGCAATGGTAGTGTGCTAGTTGAGACTGCCAAGGTGGCTAAGCGCTGGGGGGAGTACTTTAGTGAACTCTTAAATGCGGGAGGAGACCAGAGGCTAGTTCTTGATGAGTTGGGGCAGTCCGGGGCGTCTCGTGTGTATTGCCGGCGCATTTGCCAGGAAGAGGTGGTTCGGGCTCTCCGCGGGATGCGTAGTGGGAGAGCTCTAGGGCCAGATCAGATTCTGGTGGAGTTTTGGAAGCATGCGGGTCATGGTGCGAGGGTTTGGTTAACTAAACTCTTCAATGTTATCCTCCGGACAGCAAGGATGCCTGATGAGTGGAGGGAGAGTCTCTTGGTCCCTCTGTTAAGGCAAAGGAGACATTTAGAGCTGCGAGAATTACAGAGGTATCAAACTACTTAGCCACACGATGAAGGTGTGGGAGCGAGTCATTGAGTATCGGGTGCGGAAAGGTGTTTGCATCTCTGAGAACCAGTTTGGTTTCATGCTTGGCAGATCAACTACAGAGGCCATTCATCTCGTGAGGAGGTTAATGGAAGAGTATAGGGCTAGGAAGAAGGACCTCCATATGGTTTTTATTGACCTTGAGAAGGCGTACAATAGGGTGCCAAAGGGAGGTCATATGGAGGTGCCTTGAGACGAGAGGAGTTCCTAACGTGTGCACTCGCGTGATCAAGGATATGTACGATGGGGCTATAACCAGGGTAAGGATAGGACTTCCGGGGGCGATTCTGAGTCTTTCTCGGTAGGGATGGGGTTGCACCAGGGGTCTACCCTTAGCCCTTTTTTGTTCGCCTTGGTGATGGACGTCCTGACTCAAGATGTTCAAGAAGGGGTCCCATGGTGCATGCTTTTTGCGGATGATATTGTGCTTATCGACGACACGCGTGAGGGACTAAACGATAAGTTGGAACTATGGCGCCTTGCCCTTGAGACTAAAAGATTCAGAATTAGTAGGAACAAGACTGAATACATGGAATGTCGTTCCAGCGGCCGGGAAACAGAATCAGAAGTGGAAGTTAGGATTGACTCTCACCTAGTACCTAAGGTAGACAGGTTCCGATATCTTGGCTCGGTAATCCAGGCTGATGGGGAGTTAGATGGGGATGTTGGACATCGTGTTGGAGTGGCTTGGGCTAAATGGCGGTTAGCTTCAGGGGTGTTGTGCGATCCGAAGATTTCGCCCAGGATGAAAGGTAAGTTCTATCGATCCGTAGTCAGACCTGCTATGTTATATGGGGCAGAGTGTTGGGCGGTTAAGAAGACTCATGTGCGTCGTCTGCATGCGGTGGAGATGCGGATGTTACGATGGATGTGTGGGAAGACAAGGTGCGATAGGATTTCGAACGAAGTTATCCGACGTTAGGTGGGCATGGCACCGGTGGAAGATAAGTTGCGGGAAGCGAGGTTGAGATGGTTTGGTCATGTGAGACGGCAGGATGCTGACGCCCCTGTACGGAGATGCGAGAGAATTACGGTTATCGGGGAAAGTAGGGGAAGGGGTAGACCTAAGAAGAATTGGAGGGAGGTGATTAGGCAGGATTTAGGAACCCTCACCCTGACGGAGGATATGGCCTTAGATAGGAACCTTTGGAGAACTAGGATTAAAGTAGCTGGATAGGAGCTCGGTGCTATAGAGGTTGTTTGTAGTATGTTGTGTTTGTTTGGAATCTTTTGCTATTTCTTGTACTTGTTGCTTGAACTTGGCTCTTTACCCGTGTTATACTGTGTTCCCTTCCATATTTTTGTGCAGGTTGAGCCGGGGGTCTCTTGGAAACAGCCTCCCTACTCCCGAGTAGGGGCAAGGTCTACGTACACAATCTACCAGAAGCTGTGGCCTTCCAGAAGCTGCGGTCTATCCATCGAAGGAAAGTATCAAAACTACCAAAATACTATTCGGCCAATCTCTCTACAATTCGATTAGGCGAATCCTCTGCAATTCGGATCCTTCATCGACTCATTCCTTGAAAAGAAAGTCTAGAAAATCACAGAGAATCTTCTTCAGCGAATGAAGCTATATAAAATACCAAATTCAGATCCATGGAGATTTTCGGCCGACCTCTCTCTTGATGGATAACCAAAATCAGAATTCGTCGTCTCTTCTTCACCAACGGAGACTCTTGAAATTGCATGGGTTCATGCTCATGCTTGGGATCTGGATTTTTCTTCAGTGCAATAATCCTTGAAATTGGTTTGTTCTCTAAATTCATATCCAAGTGTTATTCAATTCGTGTTCTTCTTGAATTGTACCTTGATTTGTTCCATATTCTTTAATTGTTTGATTGGTAAGTTCATGGTTTCCAAGTCACAACTTTGTCATGTCAAATTACATACCTTAATTAGAATCATAATATGCTTTATTACACATCTTATTTCGCCCATTGGTTTATTTCCACAATTTTATTCACCATGGCTATATAAGAACTTTCTTCACAGACAACCACCACAACCCTTTTTATGGAAACGTTTTCTCCTACTGAACCTGACCTCTTTTTGCAGCTATGAAGTCGAAGGCTATTCATGCCTTTGTCAAAAATTACTCCGGCCAGTGAGTGTGTAATAAAACCATATACCATACTGAATATAGTGAATATAGTGATGAGAAGACCACAGATTCTATTGAGATTGTCTTTATGAACGAACATGCAAGTCTAAGTCTCTATCCCACAAATTTACATGCTACTTGCAGTATTTTGAAAAAATTTAGAAATGCAAATTATTAGACTAATACCTAAACTGAGCATTGAGAGTGTGTATTATAAGTTATAACTTAATATGATTTTATTACAAAAGCCTTAAATCTAAAGATAATGTGGTTGATGTAGCCTGTTCAAAGGTCCCATTCTCCCACGTGTTCTTTCGTACAGTTTTTCAATTTTACACGTATGCACCAAATGTTAGTACTTACCACTTTATTAATGAATGGTACATTGCAGCTTATTGCATTATATTTTTTATATCCTACATTCCTTCATATGTTCCACCGTTATTCAGTCTAAGACAAATGGAATGCAGGTATGCTCTGGTTCATTATTTAATACTCCATTTACATTCCCCCCTCCTTTAACTTTATAATTTACTATAACGAATGTCAATTTGGTCAGAGTGGAAGACCTTTCCATGCTCTTTGGATATTTATTTAATGAATTTTTATCCAAACCACACTATAGGCTTTGATGTGTTTTTTAAAGATCAATATATATTAGCATTATTTATTTTACTCAACTAGTATCACACCCGTGCGTTGCACGGGTCATTTTTATGTTATTAAATTCAGATCATTTTTCAATGATAAAAACTGAAATGCAATAGAATATAGAGATTATATCATTTCAAAGTACAGAACATCAATGTTTTACAAATTTTGAAAGACTTCTTTATATACTACATTATGTGTAGTATTTGTGGGAGTATCGTCTTCATTGCATATTAGAATCTTCAATCCACTACGATTAGTTACTCTTGAAACTGCAACATAGAGCTGTCCATGACTAAACACAGGTTTCCGTAACAGTAGTCCAACATGTTTCAGAGATTGTCCCTGGCTCTTGTTAATCGTCATTGCGTACGAAGTAACCACAGGGAATTGTCTTCTTTGAAACTTGAAAGGAATTCTTGTATCGGACGGTGTTAATGATAGTCTTAGAATAACAACTTCTTCACCCATGTGGCTTCCTGATAATATTTTTCCTTGTATTGAGTGATTAGCCAACCGGGTTACTATCAACCGTGTACCATTACACAAACTCATTGAATGGTCAATATTTCTCAACAACATAATAGGCGTGCCTACCTTCAGAGTTAATTCGTGATTCCGTACACCTGAAGCACGAATCTTATTTAAGAATTCGGGAGAGTGTAGGTCACCAAAAAAACTTGAATTGCAATCTGAGTTCTCAACTTTATCAGAACTAAGGTATGTTCGAGTCTCGCTGCTTGGATTCATCGCTGTCATATATTCGTTTATGGAATCGACGACATCCAGTGTAGGAGCCAAAATTGCGCGCTCTTGCAAGTAGCTCAGTTCATTGGCTATTTTTTGAAATTCTGGATAAGTTAAATTCACTATAGTGGCTATTGGATCTTCAGAAGACGGAAGTAACATGTCATCAGGAATAATCACCTTAGCATAACCGTCATGATCATCACCTGCGTTCCCGTCACCAATACTTTGAATCCATTTGCTGAATTCAAATGATTGATCATAACCACTGTCATGAATCATTGATTGCAGCCGCATGTTTTTCGTCAAATGCAACACAGTGCAGTCTTCCCAAATGTATGAAGAATTAATCGTTGAGTTAACGATGTCCTGTCTCGTTCCTTTTGGAATAACTGGCAAAATTTGATGAAAATCTCCACCAAAGACAATTGTTTTTCCTCCGAAAATTTGTTGTTCACTCATCAGATTAGAAAATCGTAGAATATCGCACAAACTTCTATCCAAAGCTTCCAAGCAATACTTGTGTGTCATAGGGGCCTCATCCCAAATGATTAATTTCGCTTTCACCAAGAGTTGTGCCAGCGGAGAGCCTTGCTTTATGTTGCAAGTAGAGTTTTCATCTGGAATCAATGGGAGCTTAAAACGCGAGTGAGCCGTTCTACCACCTGGCAACAATAACGATGCTATACCACTTGACGCAACATTTAGTACTATATCACCTCAACATCGTATTGCAGCTGATAATGTTCTCCAGACATATGTCTTGCCAGTGCCTCCATATCCGTACAGAAAGAATACTTTGCCAGCATTTGTTTGAACAGATTGCATTACTGCTTCATACGCTGCACGTTGTTCATCGTTCAGTGAACGCAATAGTCTGGTGTGCTCGCTTGCCAATGCAATTCGATCGTATTGCATTTCATCAAAAATCAGTCGATTGGCTGAAATCCAAATTCTCTAGAGGTTCGCTTGAGGCATATCTGTGTAATCGCGAAGGCTCTTACCACGACTTCTCAGCAAGTCTTCGAGATCACATAGAATATGGTTTTGAATCTCATCGTCAGTAAGAATTAGACCTAATTAAAATTTATAAAGTGTTAGTCATATTGTTTTTATTTGAAATCACTATAAAATTAAAAAAATACCTTCATGATCCAACAAACGACGTTGCCGGTACAAAACATCATCTCCCATATACTTCCAACATTGCTCCCACACATGTCTTGGTCTCGACATTGATTCTGTCGTCAATAGTGTTGCAAATAAATTCCTTAGCTACGCAGCATAAGCCCAGTGACTTGCCTCCACGAATGCGTCCAGATATTCTCTATCATCGTCAAGCAATCCCAATGCATAACATGCATCACGGTATGATTCATGAACAATGCCATTAACACTTTTGATATCATCGTAGCATGTAGCCCCACGCACTATGTTTAAAAGACATCTCAGGTAGTACGGTTCACGTGTACCTGGAGGAACATAACTCAAACGTCCTATTGCAAAACCTCTCTTTCGAGGTTCATATTGTCTCTTATCTAACTTCCAAACAAATTTTTGTGGAAATTCACCATATGTTAGAGCTCGTGCATTGGGATAAGTTTTATTTGCAGTCATCCATGCCAAAAATTTACTCTCTTTAATGCTTTCTCATCGGACAACTTCAGAGGCATTATCATCGTCTTCAAAAAATATCATTTGTTCATTTGGCAAGTGAAAGCTCAAGCGCTCAACAGTCGGATTTTTATACTGCAACTCATATCCAAAGATTCTCCACATAGCTTCACATGGACAAACATATCTACAATCATAGTAGAGTTTGATTTCGTTTGTCTCATCTATTGTTAAATCTGCCGAATTCTTGGAGTTTTCATAAAAAACAGCAGTAACTCGATCATGACCTTTGTTGACATACTTAAACAAATACTTGATGGAGCGTGTTTGGTTGCACCATTCGACATTCAGATGCGCTCCATATTTCATGAGTAAGTACCTATTATGTGGTACGACAAAACGATTGTCCAAAATAACCCCATTTTTTTCAATCATTTGTCCATCGTTACGTCTTCTGTACCTTGTATATCCATCGTCATCAATGATAGTATCATTATTGAATTCTTTTGGAAAATGTCTGGTGCATCTACCATTGTCCATGCAAGGGGCGCCTGCTGCAAACGGTCCGCAAGGTCCATGAACCATAAAATCAGAGACTGCTTGAAAATACTTAGGATCCAAATCTTTATCAGGGAGTTCAGCAGAAATCATTTTGTCAATAACTTGAGGAGTTAGATTTTTGCTCTATTGGCCAAAGAATAATAATATATGCGCATGCGGTAATCCTCGCTTCTGAAACTCAATGGTATAAACAACTGCATTCAAAAATAATTTTTAAGCGTCAAAAATTAATCCCTCGTGTGCAAGTGTTGATGTAAAGTAGGAAAAATGAAGTTAGTGTATAGTACCTGCACGAACTATTCCAAAAAGTTGTTGCTTGTGCAGTTCTTTAATGAGCATATTTAATTTCATATGGAAAACTCTGCAACATATATCCGGACGATCTTGAGGACTTAGATTTCTTTTTTCAAGAAATCGAGTGATTTCTGGCCACTTTGGATTGCATGTAAAAGTCAAGAATAAATCAGGATAGCCAGCCCATCGACATATTGCCATAGCATCTTGA